CACACAACCATAAATAGAATAGTTGTGGATCCGGTCTATATGCCAATCGCCACATCACCTATGAGTCCAGGTTCGCAATATTATACCGAGACAGAAGTTAATCCAATGGATCAGATAACAGAGCCGCTTAATGGCAACTATTTTCCACCGGACCATGCATCAGCACGGCCATCCACACCATCTGTTAGTGGTTCAAATCGGACTACACTCAGTTCTAATCCATTGAGCCCCAAGCCTAGTCGTGTAGTGGTAGTTCCCCCTAACCCAGATAAAAATAGTCCAAAGGTGACTGGTAGCGCAAACGATGGTCCCATATTGGCTAGTCCAGGTCAAACGCCCCAATTAAGAAGAGGCGTGCCATATCAACCTGTCAAACCTTCATCTCCTGATGTAGAAGTTCCTGGTAACAATACTATTCCAGAATCAATTCCTAATGGTGCTAATGGTGATAGTCCTGGTATTCCGAGTGTTCCTATATCACAACCTCCGACACCTCAGCAACCAATTCCTCCTGCACAAAGTCCACCAATACCAACTCGGAAAAAAGGGAAAACACCAGGAAATAGGATATTTGGGGATAAATCTAATCCTTATTATGTGATTCCACCAATTAATGTATTAATTGTAGAAGGTTAATATAAATATAGTATTAAGGCAATGATTAACAAATGTTATTATAAAATTATAGAATTTTAATACTATTTGCTTTACTATTATTATTATAGACAATCCAATCAATCAAGCAATTTTATCAACATTTATGAGAAAGAAGAATATCAAATACGAATGTGCTTCTAATGGTCAAGAAGCCGTTGATAAATGGAAAAAAGGAGGATTCCACTTAATCTTGGTAAGTTATAGGAAATATAAATTACGAATATTAGCAAATATTTATTTCAAAACTTATTTCAGATGGATATCCAACTGCCAGTAATGGATGGAATAGAAGCTACGAAGACAATCAGACGCCTAGAGAAATCACAAAAGATAGGTGTCTTTCCTTCTACACCACCGGCATTTCCAACCTCATCACTACCGTTACCAAATTCACCCGTTACATCCTCTACATCCGCACCTGCATCAACGTCTACTCAAGAACCGCCTGAAACACCTGCTTTAAGTTCACCAGTCATTATAATGGCCCTAACAGCATCATCGTTACCATCCGACAGGCAAAACGCTCTGGCCGCAGGATGTAATGATTTTCTGACAAAACCTGTAAGTTTGGAATGGTTGGAGAAAAAGATTAACGAATGGGGATGTATGCAGGCCTTGATTGATTTTGAAGGATGGAGAAGGTGGAAAAAAGTTGGAGAGGAAATACAGATGAGCGGATTCTGATTTTTGGATCTAAAATTTGGCCCAGATTTTTAAATTTGGTCACCAAATTTCATGTAATCATTAGATGGTTGGTTGATTTGATTGTTTTAAAAAGGTTTTTTTTTTGCAATAGTAGAGAGATATTAGAATGTACGTCAACCCAATTGTTCCTTCTGTAAACCAATTGTCATAAAACCTTGTATATGTATAAATTTGTGTAGTGGTAAGCTTTTTTATTAGTTATATAATATTTTGTATATATTTAATATTTAATTTATTTATATAATTACAGAACTGAAAAAAGTTTCATCTTTTTAATTAAATTTCGGATTTATTTTTTCAAGTATTGTATGTAAAAATAAAAATATATAATTATTACGTAGTATATTGTTTAAATTTTTAAAAACTATTGCGTTAACATTACTGTATATATGGGGACCCCCACAGCAAAAGGGTGCAATGAGCCAAAAAAATTTTTTTTTTCTAAACTCAATTTTTTGAAGAATTAGAACAATCAGCTTCCAATTTTTATAAAATTACAAAATTAAAATTTTCGGCCTATTGCACCCTTTTGCTGTGGGGGTTCCCATATATGAAATTATTCGTGCACCATCTAACTAAGTTGCTAAAAATTTATCATCATGCATTTGAATGTTACTTAATCTATCAAAAGGAATCCATTCAATCACATTCTCATATTTTGTGGCTTTATGTTGAAATTCTTTAATGCATTTATCAATATCCTCATTTTCACTTGTCCATTCTAGTGCTGTTTTCTGGGGGTCACATGTCTGACACCAAGCTTCAGAAGTATTATATCGGTTGCAATTTGTACATTTTTCATTCGGTTTAAAATAACCAAATTGCTTAAATACTAACATATACTTATTTGTGAGTGTGTTTTTAGTTAATCCATATACTTTAAGTTCCCTATTCTTCAGTTGCATGTTCACATAGTTTTTACACTTATATAAAATATTAAAAAGTATAAATGAAATTTATATAAGTATGTCACTAATTAAGCTACACATAATAAAGAATATGATCTTACTTCATTTGAAGCATCTGATAAATTTTGTGAGCTAGTCAATATTTTAAGTCTAATTGTGTACGGTGGTGTACGTGCCTGTGTGCACTTTTCACTAAATTTATTTTGAATTAATCTTAAGACATCTAACCAGGTTGTCAAAAATTCTTCACCAATCTTTTGAAAATTATCTAATCTGTCGAAGGGAATCCACTCGATTACATTTTCATATTCTGTAGCATTAAATTGGAGTTCTTTAATGCAATCATCAATGTCCTTATTCCCACTTGTCCACCCTTGTGTTATTTTCTGAGGGTCGCATGTTTGACACCAAGCTTCAGTCGTATTATCCTGGTTGCAATTTGCACATTTTCCATTCCGTTTATTTCTTTTTGAATAAAATCCATCACATACCAACATATATTCATTTGTGGTTGTGCTGTGAGTTAATCCATAGACACTTTTACCTTCTAATTTCACATAGTTTTTAAACTTATATAAAATATTAAAAAGTATAAATCAATTTATATAAGTATGTAAATGATTAAACTACACATTATAAAAAATATGATCTTACTTCATTTGAAACATTTGATAAATTTTGTGAGCTAGTCAATATTTTAAGTCTAATTGTGTACGGTGGTGTACGTGCCTGTGTGCGCCTTTCACTTAATCTATTTTGAATCAATTTTACGCCATCTAAACAGGTTGCCACAAATTCTTCACCAATCTTTTGAATATTATTTAATCTGTCAAAGGGAATCCACTCGATTACATTTTCATATTTTGTAGCATCAAATTGAAGTTCTTTAATGCAATCATCAATGTCCTTAATTCCACTTGTCCACCCTCGTGTTATTTTCTGAGGATCACATGTCTTACACCAATCTTCAGAAGTGTTATATCGGTTGCAATTTAAACATTTTCCATTTTCTTGAAATCTTTCAAATCATGTGCTAGCATATATTCATTTGTGTCCGGGTGTTGACTTAATCCGATTAACCCGAATTTTCTCTTATTACCTGACTATAAAAAATATTTATATCCTTATAAAATGTATAAAATATATTAATAAAATTCAAGTTAACAACACTATACTCAATAATTATAAACTTACTTCTTTTGATAATTTAAAAAGTGCAATTCTGTGCGGTGGTGTACGTGACTGTATATATCCATATTTATCTACATATCGTACATATCGTACTCCATCTACCCAGGTTGCTACTATTCCCGACTCCCTAATCTCTTGAATGATATCTAATTTATTAGGAATATACTCGATTGCATCTTCGTATTCTGTAACATTAAGTTGAAGTTTTTTAATACAATCTCCTTATTTCCACTCGCCCATCCTTGTGCAGTTTTATAAGTGTCACATGTCTGGCACCAAGCTTTAGAAGTATTATATCGGTTGCAATTTGTACATTTTCCATGATCTTTCTTTCTTTTAGAACTAAATTCATCAAATACTAACATATATTCATTCGTAGTTGTGCTTTGAGTTAATCCATAGACAATTTTACATTTCAATTGCACATAATTTTTAATCTTATATAAAATGAGAAAAATATTAATAGAATTTATATAGGCATTTCATTAATTGACAGATTAAAAATGAAATGAAATTTGGGATCTCTATTTAACACTCAAAACCTATTTGTAATCTATTGATGAATATAACCTAAATCCAAACAAAAAAGTTTAAAAAAAAAATGCTTCCAAAAATTTTACCGCGACGCTAATTTTCACATTAAAATTAATAAAATTTCATCTTAAGGCCACGCAAAGTTAATTTTTCGTTTTGCATTACATGGATTTCAAAATTTCCGGTCGGTCGGTCGGATTTTTTTTTTTTTTTTTTTTAATCTACAGTGAATTAATGGGCTCATGTCCACATCTAAGGTCGCAAAAGGTTTTTTTTTGCTTTTTATGACATGGAATCAGAAAATTGGGTTGGCTGTCGAATTTTTTTTCTGTCAGTTCTAACGGATACTTTCGGGAAAATAAGGTCACTGTCGGGTAATACCGGATGAATTTTTTGAAAAATTTAAATGGCAAAAATAGAATAATTGGCGCAATTGGGGCTTAAGAAAAAAAAAATTTTTGAAAATTTGAAAAAAATGGGTCGGTGGGTAATGCAAAACGAAAAATCAACTTTGCGTTGCCTAATCTATTTCACTTTAATCTGTCACATTAATTAAGATACATAAATAGTATATAATCCTACCTCTTTTAAAATATCTTGTGAACTAACCAGGATTTTAAGTCCAATTAAACATGGCGGTGTACGCGACTGAGTGCATTCATTTAAGTTCCCAATTTCATCAATTATATATGAAGTTGTTCGCACACCATCTAACCAGGTCGCTCTTAACCCCTTACCAGTCTTTTGAATAATATCTAATCTATTAAAAGGAATCCACTCGATTACACTTTCATATTCTGTAGCATTAAGTTGAAGTTCTTTAATGCAATCATCAATGTCCTTATTTTTTACTCGTCCATTCTTGTGTGACTTTGCAAGGGTCACATGTCTGACACCAAGCTCTCGAAGTATTAAACAGATTGCAATTCGCACACCTTCCTTTCCAACTCTCTCTTTTAGAATCAAATTCGCCAAATACCAACATATATTCACTTGTGGTTGTGTTTTAAGTTAATCCATAAATTCTTTTATCCGTTAATCGCACACAGCTTTTAAACTGTATAAAGTGTAAAAATATAAGTAAAAAATTATGCATATACCTTTGCTGAAACTGCCAATTTAACAACTTTAGAGCTACTTAAAATAACTATATAGTTACTTTATAGTTATTTTAAAGTAGTTCTAAAGTTGTTAATTGGCAGTTTCAGTAAAGTTGCTAAAAATATGCTATACATAATAAAATAATCTTACTTCATTTAAAATATCCAATAAATTTTGCGAACTATTCAATATTTTAAGTCTAATATTGCATAATGGTGTACGTGAAGGTGTATATTTAACTTTATGTTCATTCTCAACTTCTTGTTCGTTCACATGCCTAACACCATCTAACCAGGTTGCTAAAAATTCTTCACCGATCTTTTGAATATTATCTAATTTACTAAAAGAAATCCATTCGTATTCTATAGCATTAAGTTGAAGTTCTTTAATGCAATCATCAATGTCCTTATTTTCATTCGTCCATTCTTGTATGATTTTGTAAGGATCACATGACTGACACCAAGCTATAGAAGTATTGGGTCGGTTGCAATTCGTACACT